TGGCAGCTTTGTGGTGATTTGAAGGTTGTTGCTCTCTTGCTTGGTCTGCAGACTGGATACACAAAGTACTGCTGTTTTCTCTGCGAATGGGATAGTCGTGCAAGAGATTCCCACTACATCAAGATAGATTGGCCACGCCAACAGTCAATGGAGCCTGGGAGGAAAAGTGTTCAGCATCCACCCTTATTGAATCAAGGAAGATTTTGTTACCCTTACACATCAAGCTGGATCTGATGAAGAACTTTGTCAAGGCCGTGGACAAAACACAAGCAGCTTTCGAGTACGTCCGTGGAAAATTTCCAAGATTAAGTGAAGCTAAGATAAAGGAAGGTGTCTTTGTTGGTCCTCAGATTCGTGAACTTCTTCGAGATGATGCATTTGACCATGTACTCCGTGGCAAGGAAAAGATGGCATGGAAAGCCTTCCAGTTAGTGGCAATACATTTTCTCGGAAACAAGAAGGCAGACAACTACAGGTTGTTGGTGGAAAACCTCCTCAAGGCATACAAAAGCCTTGGTTGCAACATGTCACTAAAGATACATTTTTTGCACTCTCATCTAGATTTTTTTCCACCGAACTGCGGAGCAGTGAGTGACGAGCACGGCGAGTGATTTCACCAGGACATTGCAACAATGGAGAAACGCTATCAGGGCAAATGGAGCCCATCAATGCTTGCAGACTGTTGCTGGACAGAGATGCTCCATTTAATGAATACAAGAAACAAACCAAGAAGCGCCGAGTAGACACTGAATAGGACTAAACTATGTACATAATAGTTTTTTGCCTTTTGTTTCATAATAAATGTTATGTATATAACCCTTTTACTGATTTTTAAAGAGTTACATAAACAGGACAGGTGAAATATTATCATGTAAAGCAACCATAAACACATGAAATGACCTAGGTTTACAATTTATGATTAAAACTCTAATATCTACACACTATATATAGATAGAAAATGTAAAAACTTAAATATCTTGGAAACAGTAGCTAATCAGTTGTTTTAATTGTCATATTTGAATTCAGCACATCAAAATACATAATAAATAGCACATTTTATCTCTGAAGCAGACGACTTCTAAAAAATTGTAAACCAGTGTAGTCATTGATGGTCCTAACCTCTATGAATTTATCTAGATCTTTCTTGAATCCTGTTAAGTGTTTGCCTTCACAACCTCTTTTGACAAGGAATTCCTCCGGCTGACCATGCTCTATGTGAAGAAAAACACCCTTTTGTTTGTTTTAAACTCACTACCTATTAACTTCATTTGGCGAGACTCCTAGTTGTTGTGTTATGGGAACAAGTACATAACTTTTCCTTATTCACTTTTTCCACACCAGTCATGGTGTTATGGACCTCTCTCATACCTCCCTTAGTGTCCTCTTTTCTAAAATGAAAAGTCCCAGTCTTTTCTTATCTCTCTTCATATGGGACCTGTTCCAAACCCAAATGTGGGAAGAGGAGAAAGGTAAGTGTGTTATT